TTTTGCATATGGCCGAAAACGCAAAAAAAAAAACGAAAAATTGCAAATTAGCAAAACAACTAACTAAAAGCATTTTCCATTCAACTCAGTTCCGGTAAATATCCGGCTAGAAATGAAATTACGTTCCACGCTGGCGCTGTTTTTTCCTCTAAACCTGGCGAGGCAGTAAACAGCAATTCTTATCAGCTTCTCTGCCGCAAACCTAGCTTGTTGAATTTATGCATAGTTTTAAAAGTGAAATTCCAGTTCAATATACGTACTTAATTCATTCATTTTAGAGAAGTTTCGATTAAAATGTGCCTTTGACTTTTTTACCCTTAATTAAGTGGTTATAGCCCATTTCAAATTTAAAAATATTTTAATACTAAAAATAAAACCTCGTATTTGAAAATAGCGCTGCGAAAAATTACGATATAAAAATAGCAGTGTAAGTAATGTTTAAATTCATATATTGGATAAGATTCAGAAGCGCAGTGGCATGCTGCCAAACTTGATGTGTTCAACGCCATAAGCAATTACATATCCCTCACCTAGATCTAAAGTGCGATCAACTCGAATAAAATTTTGGGCGATTTTTTGGCATAAATCAATTGACAGTTATAATTTCGAGAAAGTAGAGAATTTCGTTTACTTGGGAACCAGCATTAACACCGATAATAATGTCAGCATGGAAATCCAGCGCTGAATCACACTTGCCAACAAGTGCTACTTTGGACTAAGTAGGTAATTCAGGATTAAAGTCCTCTCTCGACGTACCAAAAACCACACTCTATAGGTCACTCAATATGTCCGTGCTGGTATATGGCGCCGAAGCATAGACAATGACAACATCCGATGAGACGGCTCTTGGTGTATTCGAAAGGAAGAAGGAAATTAACGATGGTCAAAATTTAAAAATTTAGAGAAATATGTTTTTTTTTTTTAATTTTACCCGATAAAAAATCCCAAAAAGCCAAGTCCGATAATAGATTATTATATACAATTTTAAAGGCCTATAATCATTATTCTCAGATAATACTTGATTGTCGCGGGAAGGCGAAACTTCCGGATTCATAATGCTAAATAAGCAAACTTTATAATTTTATCCATTTCAAATCGAATAATGTATGTAGCTTGTTTAAAACTTGGTAGTAGTCTTAAGCATTTACTAGTTTACAGGAACAATGTTGAATTTAAAGTTACTAAGCGAGAAGTTCAAAACGTCAGTGAAATTGTAGGGCAGCCTCAAAATTATTTTATTCCAAAATTAGGTCCACATTGAAATGTTCATAAAAACTCTACTAATCTAAGAAAAATTAGAATTTTGAACTAATTATTTTTATTATTAAATGTGCAATACGTATATCGCTCGTTCGCTGGAAGTACGCACTAGGGATGTTAATTTTGGGGCTATCGTTATCATAATCCCGGGATCTAGATAGTCTTTACTTTTCAACAACTTAAATCGAAAAAATAGATTCTATATTGTTCAGAAGCTCTCCTATAAAAAATAATAAATAAATAGGTTTGAAACCTACTTTTTTATTTAAAGTGGCGTTTTTATATTTTCTCTCTGACGTCAGGATTTATTTTAAAGGGCTTTGTAATTTCAAAGATTTGATTAATTAGAAAAATTATTTAAAAAATTTAATGCAATGTATTTAGAATAAAAATATGGGTACCAAGAGGAAGCTTCTTTAGAATTTAACAATAACAATATGGGTACTAAATGAAATGGAAAATTTCTTTAGAATTAAAAAAAAAAAAAAAAATTTTTTGGATTCACGAAGACGAATAGGTAAATTTTTAAACTGATAAAGTTAGAAGGACGAAATTCGAGGATGTTATCGAGTTTATATAAGTCCTTGACATATACTTTTTTCAAAAACAAATATTGCGAAATTTCAAGGATAAATTTTAAATGGATATTTTCAATACTTACCAATCCTTATGCACCAAAAAATTGAATCTGTTTAAATTCTACAGAATTTTTTCTTTAATTTGATACCCATACTTCTTCTCTAAGCACATTTCACTGGATTTTTTAAGTCATTTTTGAATTACTGACGTCAGAGTGAGAAACTAAAAACGCAATTTCACTATATTTGGCCCATGGTTTCGCGAATATATTGACATTTGTGTTTGAAATTTACTATCGCGCGATGTTAAATGTATAATGAGCTAGACATTTATATAAAAATATTAATTATTAAATAAAAAAAAAATATAGCTCAAGAACAGGAATTTTTATCATTGCCATCAGTGAAAATTGCAAATCTCGAAAATACCGAGATTATTTGCCAAGAATCCCAGGATTTTTTGGAACTTAAAAAGGCCGGGATCCCGGGATTAACATTCCTAGTACACATAATGTAAATTTCTTCTTTTCTTTATGTCCAACAAATCCCTCTGATTTATAATATCTGACCCATCGTCATTTCATCGTCACATTAGTTCGCGCGAACAAATCAGACGTTACTGGAGGGATGTGCGCGAACGAATTCACGAACATATCATACGTTAGTGGCTAGCTTTAGGTAGGCGTCGCACAGTGTGGTCAACGAATTTTTTTCGTAACAAAATCAAATATCTCGAGAACGAAAACAGCTAGCGAAAAAAGGGAGAATGCTATTGTGTTTCTCGGTTCTCATGCGCCGTGGAAATGGATTTCTTGACATAAGATGAGCATAATCTTATGTTTAAAATAAAAAAAAAGTTAATTGCATTCTGCATTTTTCCGGTCAAAAAGAAAACAAATTTAAAATTCTCATATTTTTGAAGGTAATTTTAAAGGTCAAGACAATTTTTTATGGGTAGAATTTGGGTTGACCCATCAGAGGATTTCGGGTCTTGTTCGGGACTAATTCGCGACCAGTTCAGAACTTTTTTGGGATCACTTTGGGCCTAGTTGGGAACCTGTTCAGGACTTTTTCGGGACAACTTGGAGTCTAGTTCGGCCTCATTTCGAGACTAATACGGAACACATCAAATTTCATAAGTATATGGAACTCAAGCCGTTTTA